CATCCACACTATCCTGCTACCATGTGTCTGGCAGTGGGGGAATAATTTGGTCACGTGCCGCGACATCGAACCGAGGCGAGGCGCGGCACAAGAGGCAGGACTCGGCGTAGTACTTGCCATTTGATCTGTGGCAAGGTGTGGCGGGGGGGGCCACACTGGAATGGCTTATCGGCCGCAAGTCGAAAGCCATTTGTTAGTTGGTTAGAAACGAACGAAGGTAGATGGAGATGGAGATGGAGATGGAAGCTTTGCCTGACGAGTGGATAAACCAGCAAAATAGATTTCAGCTCGAAGTGGGACAGAGACACGGATGGGGGAGGAGGAGTAGAATTCTGTTGTTGTTGTTGTCCCAGCAACAGCCAGCGGGGCTCAGAGAATGGATAACCATCTGAAATGGAATTGAAATGCAATTTTTTGTGCCTGGAGGACAATTAGAGGGAAACAAAGATGAGACTGGACATGGCAGCAGATAGCAGATAGCAGAGGGAAACCGCCACTGACTGTCCGGCAGTGGGTGCATAAAGGTGTTGAGGTGTCATTTCCTACCTTTTGACACTTTTGACTTGGCCAGCCAACCCCCTCTGCGCGCCACCGTCCGAGAGTCAACCTCAATGACGCTAATGAGCAGTTGTGTCTGCGGTACGTTGAACGAACGTATCCTGTCAGGTGAAACTGGCTGGTGGCCTGCTCTGCCCTTCCCAGCGATAATGGCCCCAGGACTCGCTCGCATCAAATACAAATACAATTGTGGTCAGTCTCGATTACAAAATGATGTCCCGTGCCGGCAACGCACGACTGCCGATGCCAGGCACTGCCCAGACAGGACACCGCACAGCACAGGCCCAGCAGAGACCCGGGGAGATCCGTTTAATAACAAATAACATATACACCACATACACACGAGAGGGTAGTTCTACTGCCCTTTTTTTCTTCTTAGCTTTTACTGTTTTTTGTTGCTCGTCTTTTTCTATATAATGAGCAAAAAACGATGGACAGGCCGCCGAACACCAGACCAGACAGCACAGCAAACACCCAGAGACGTTGCATGCAACTCACGTATGCGCTTAATTTTTTGTTTATAACGCCACCCCCCCCCCCCCCCCCCCCCCCCCCCCCCCGTCCATCTATCCTGTGGGGGATCAGCTCCCTGCGAGTGTCACTTGGGGCTGCAGCTCGCATTGGGGGTTGGACTTGGACTTGGGACCAGGAACCAGGGAACAGCATTTTTCGTTTGTTGTTCAGGATCTCTTTTTTCTATTTGATATTTTGTAAATCAAATGTAAAAGTCTATGCCAGCCGGGGGGGTGCGGGGGAGGCTGCTGTAACCATGGCCAAAAGCCAGCAGCAGGATCCCGGACTCCTGCTCATGTGTGGTCTGCTCCGGAGGTCTTTGTCTTTAGCACGCCTTTTTCATCTTTTTTTATATTATTTAGACCTGCATAGCCCCTGGGCTTGTGGGGCTGGTCCTGCTCCGGAGGATGTTCTCTGGAGAGCAGGAATTATATCCGATTACAACACCGCAGACAGCTGCTGGGACCAAGAACTGGGTGGTTGCAACTCGCGAATGGAAAAAGCCCACCAAAAAATGACTAAGTAATATGCGATTCTTTATTTCCTTTACTTTTTTTCGCCGTTTTGCGAACACGATCCGATGCGCTGCGTAATGGATCTAATGTAAACAGGCGACTTGAGTGGGTTTTTAATTACATTATTGAGCTTTTAACCAAGTTTTATGAGGGAAATGCAAATGATTGGGGTTGTCTGTGTGGGTGGAGTCTCGACTTTTCTATTAGCGCTGAAACACAGATCTAGTGACACTGGATCCAGTGAAGCTGAAGCATATTTTTCTTTAAATTAGAAGTTTTTCAGCATACAATTATGCTTTTAAATTCCTTTAAAATTCTCCAACATATACGATTATCGTAATTAAAATGATGCTTCTGCGCTGCTCTTCCTCTACTCTTCCTTTCCTCGACTCTCCTCTTCTCTGCTCGTTTTCACTTCTCAAAGTTTGACTTTTAAAAACTTTTTAATAGTCTGTTTACCCCATAATCTCTGCTAAGCTTGCTCTATCTGGCTTCCACTATCTGCTCTCTTTCTCTCCTTCGCTCTCTCTCTCTCTCGGTTGCTGGCAAACTAAAAGTTATTTGTGCTCCTTTCCGTGCACTTGCCATATGAGTAAAAGGTACGAGAAAAAAGGGAGCAATGCAGCGAGAGAGAGAGAGAGAGAGAGAGAGACGGCGAGAGAACTATAATTACACAACAGCCAAAAAAAAGTAAATAAAACCGCAAGGCAGCAGACGATGACGATGATGATGATGATGATGATGAGGTTTCTGACGATGATGATGGTTGTAATAGCTTACAAGATGTAGAGGCTACTGTATGCATGAGCAGTACTCTGGGCAAGAAATTAATATTTTAATTACAACACATTTAACATGCGATTATGCGCTTCAATGAACATCTTGCGGCCAAAAATACAGGGTCCATATACACAGCAAAAGGGGTGGCTAACACACACACACACACACACACAGACACAGAGACAGACAGCAACTGAAAGCAGGCTCACACAGTCACGAACTACCCACATGAGGGGCACACAGTGGGCGCTAAAAGTGTCATAACTTATTACGGTGCAAACGAAAAAGCGACACATCCGCTGCACAGTAAAGGCAAAGGCAAACCAGAGGAAGAGAGAGTGTGAGTGAGAGAGAGCGACAGAGAGTAGCAGTAGCAGTAGCAGTAGCAGTAACAGTAACAGCAGCCCACACATGATACACTGAGTGGCGGAGCATAATCCTAGAGTCCAAAAGTGCACTTTAATTACCGCTAGACTTGGACACTGGCTCGGACTTTGTTTGGGTTACGAATAGGGAGAGGGCCAGTGAGCGAGATGAAGAGGAAGACTACTGGATGTAAACGAAAAGTGCCGTCAAGTCAGGGCATCGGCAGAGAAGCACCGTTCATTGCCTTAACAGCAGCCTAAGCAGTGACGGCGTCGGCGTCGGCGGCGGCCGGCTGTAATTGACAGATGTTAACTAACAGACAGGGGGCTAAGCAGGCACTGTTACCGTACCACTCCTAGCTGTGTGTGTATGTTAGGCGGCGGAGAGTGTGGGGCAGTCGGGCAGACAGCTGTCGTCGTCGTTGTCAACGGCCCAGAAAATGGCTGGGTGTGCGGGAGATGTGGCTGTTGGATGTGGATGCGGGACATGCCTGTAGCCTGTATGTGTAGTAGCTGTGGAGTGTTAATCAAAGCGTAGTTAATTGCTTAGTCGAAAAGAGGCCAAAAAGAAGGAGCTGCTGTGATTGGGATTACGTCCTGCCAGGGGCGTATGCCTGGAGATTCGAGAGTCTTGGGGGGCATTCGCGTGTGTGTGTGCCCTTTGATTAAGTTAACCCTTTGTTGCCATTATTGTTGCATGTCTAATTTGGCAAGTGTTAAGTGCCACCCAGTGTGGAGGTGGACAGGGGGACGCCAGCTAGTCTACAATAAATACTAATTAAAATGTATTTAAATACAAAATGGAGAACGAAGCAGGCACGCACACAAAAACAAGCCACACTCCCACCCAAACTGCCTCTCCCCCCTCTCTCTGCCCCTCTCTCTCACACCATCTCTCTCCTTCGCTCCACATGGTTGTGCGTCTGGCGCCAACGGCAATTCCGAAGCAATTCCGAAGCATGTCCGTGTGCATGGCTGTGTGCGTGTCGTTGTGCATGTTGCTTACTTACTCGCCAGCTCCAGCTAGAGCTCTAGCTCCAGCGCCACCTAACGGAAATGCTTCATAAAAACTTAATTGTCCATGTAACACTTTTTTGTATGTGTGTGTGTGTGTGTGAGCATGTGTCTGTGTTTGTGTAGTTCACACTGCCCCAAAAGTCTTCTCGCTTTCAACTTTAAGTGGCAAGCAACACACTCCGATTGCCGGAGAGACTTTAATCTTGTTAGGAGACGGTTTTTTTCTTGTTAGAGAGAGGAGAAATAGAACAGCGAGTGAGGGAGAGAGGAGACTTTAATTAATTGCCCTGGGGATTAAGGAACTATTATTGAGAGATTAGTTCTGCATTTATTTATATTTCTGCATGAGGGATTATAAGATTATGAACAAAAGGTACAAAAGTTACAGCCTGCCTCTACAGATTTTAATCTACTGCAATTCCATGAGTTGTGGTTGCCCAATTTCAAAACGAAAACGAGCCTTGAATAGCAGAATCCATAAGCAGAATGTTTTTTTCTACCGATTGCTAATCGGCTACCAGCTCCAACACGTGCCAATACGAGTCTGTGGCTCCATTGTAATCAGTGAATAGTACAGTGTGTGGCAGTGGCAGTGGCAATGCTTTTTCTACGCCTTGGATTTCCCGCTGGCCAAACAAAAGAAGAGCCGAACAACTTTTGGCGACATCATCCATTCTCATCAGTCAGGCACTCCACTCAGAGTGGGTACAGTACGGTGGCACAGTGGCACTTCCCGGAACCAAAAAGATGGCGAGTGACAAAGGAGAATAGATTGAATTGTGTGCAAAATGCGTTTGCCGTGCGTCGGTTGTCGCCGTGGTGCTGCTTCTGCTGCATCAATAAAACGTTTGGCACAAGCCCCTCCCCTGGCAGCCCACCCACAAAGAAAGGAAAGAGCAAACCCCCTGTCTGTCAGCCCCCCGACCAACTAAATGTTGTACGTGTAAAGCATTTAAAGTAATGAAGCGACCCTTGGCTGTGGCAGGGCAACAGTCCAAGCGGCTGCACTGGGAAAAAAACTAAGTGCGGAGAATTGGACAGACAGGAAATAATCCATTGGAGCTCTGCTTAAAGCTGCTCTATCCACGATTGAGACTTCTTTCCCGCAGTGTGAGCTGTTTGGTAGCTTGTCTTTTGATGCTACTACCAATATTAGTCGCATTTGCGCGCTGACATGAACAAACAAGGAAGCAACGCCACGGAAGGCCCAACAATCATTGGAACAGAACGAAAAACCAACCAAAGAGTCAGTCAATACATCAATATGTCGTCCAGTCAGTCACTCAAACGATTCGCTCAATGATGCGTCAAAATGTTGCTGCTGCTGCTGCAATCTGTGTGTGGAAAAAGGTGTCGTCCGACTGTCTCTGGAAACCCCGCCGGTAGCTGGGCATCGGAAGATGGGCGCAGGAGCAGAAGCTGCAACCAAAGGATGATGAGGAGCCTGGTGGCCACAGTTGACTGGCAGTCGACATATGTGAAAGATTGCAGGCAGGGACTCCCGCTGGCTTGGGCAATGGCAGACTATGTTAATTTATGTGCGGAATTTAAATGGATGACCGGGCGTTGGGTTACTCCGTGGCCCCCAACCCGGGACACCCCACACAAATTGTTTAGGCAAACATTTTCAGACGGGCCTCGAGTGCGGAGTATTCCTTCAGGAGAAGCCGCCTGCCACAGTTTGTATTTTGTTTGCCTTTGATAAATGTTGGCTGTTGCTCTGATGGTGTGTCATCCAGGACCCAATCGGCAGGCAACCAGCAACGAGCAACCGACGCCACTCCCATCGTGATTCTCCACTCGGTTTGGAGGCGATTATGAGCAAAGTTTTGGTTATTTATCAATTTAATGACCCTGCGACTTGTCGGCCGAGAGCGTCTGCTGTCGTAATTTAAAGCCTTGGATTGGATTTACGATAAAATTGTAAAGTGTAGTTTTTGACTCTGTCGCTTTTGCTGTTGCCACATTCATTTCCTTTATGGCTTATGGCTTGGGTCCAACTTGCTTGGGTAGGAGAAAAGAGCGGGCTGCCTGCACTCTCTGGGAGTGTGAATGGAAATCCTTTCATTGCTCACAAAATAATCTGCTTAGAATTTGTCATACTTTTGACCTGCTTTGGGGGCGAGCTTTTTCTTTTTGCGATTGCGTCTCGCACTCTCTGCAGGCAGCAGCATCTCTGCCTCCAATCTCCATTGATTTGTTTCATTCATCCACTTGCCAGTGCCTCCGCCTGTCAACCTGTTATTGATGGGGCTTTCAGGAGCTCACTCTCTGGCTCCCTCGCTCCCTCTGCTGCTCGAGCGAATCTCTCTGGCTGTCACCTGTTGGCAGCGCCAAGCCCCTTGGCACCTTTGCGGCTTAAGCACTCGCCCTGCCACTCCCACTTGAACGCTTCGTTGCACTTTTCTATTTTGTTGTTATTTGTTATTTTGTTCTCTTATTTGCCTGGCAACTGCCTGCTGCTGCCCTACAAACGGATGCCATACAAATGTCAGCATCATAAACCAATTTTTATAAAATTTTCCAATTTGTTTAGTTGAATTTAAGCAGCTCGTGAGCGAGTCCTTTGGGCTGCTGCCAAGGGTGTGCCATTCCCGAGTAAATCCCACGAAAGTAAACACTGTCCCAAGGGGTGGCAGCTGCGAGCTGGGACTCGGATCTGAGCTCTGGGGTTGAGCCAAAAACCAAACCTGTCAGACTTCCCGCAGTCATCGCCAGCTTTGCCGCTCCTCCAGCAATCCAAGACGTGTGGCTGTCATTTCTTTTGCTCGCTCATGACATGTGCACCCTCCCCCACAGCCCCACAGTGCCACAGCCAACCCAATGCTCCAGATGTTCCTTGGCTCAATGCGAGTAGTCTGCCTGCCACTTGACAAATTGTTCAATCAACTTCTTTCGCAACTGATTTTCGGGCTGTGCCAATTTCCTAAAGTTTGCTACAAAAAAGTTGTTGCATGGCAGGGCCAGGGGGTTGGTCGGTGTGTTTGGTCCTCGAATAAACTTTATTAAATAGTTGAGTCCAGTCCAGTTCTCTCTGCCTGAACTTTGACTGGGAGAATGGGTCTTCAAATGATTTGATTTCTACTTAACTTTGACTGAGGGTAGAAAGACCTGTCCGTTGCCGTCCCTTTGCTACCTGTTTTGGATTTCCATTAACGCATCGCTCATAATGCATTTTACACCCTTACCCTTAAGCTACCCTTCCCCCCCCCCTCCCCCCCCCCCCCCATCCCTATTGGCAATCTGAAGGCTGCTTAATTTCGAATTAGGGTAGCATTTTCATGCCATGTGCTTGGAGCGGGGTGTAGCAGCGGGAGCCGCTCCGTGTGTGTGTGTGATTTTCATTAATGGCATTTGGCCTTGCATCGCATGCGACGCCGCAGCCCCTGCTTAACCCCCGGAACAACCCTTTTCGGGCAAACTGCAATTATGTGCTCTGCCCTGACGTTGACTTGCCACTGAGTGGAGGAAGAGCTAGAGTCCTGAAGTCGCTGCAGAGTGCCAGGGAAGTTATCAAAAATCAACAAGGAGCCAGCAGCCAACCTTTTGTTTCTGGTGCTTACAGCCATCGCATGTCCTATCCGCAATCGTCTTTGTCGGCGATCTCCCACTTCAAGTCAATCTTCAGTATTTGCAATCAATTTAATTTCAATGACAGAACATTTGCATCGTGTAGACAGGGGGCAGTGGCAGACGGATGGCTGCACTCCACGGATAGGCCTCCGGATTTTGTGTAAATATGCAAATCGAAAATGCAAATTAGCTGAATTTTGATTTTGTCTCAAGTGGGATAAATGATTCAGGATGGAGGAGAACAGAAGCTGCCTCTCTTTGGGAGTGGGGTTGGATGTGGCAGAGGAGTTGAAAGAGCAGAGATTTCGAGGGTGGCAGGGCAGGGCAGGGCAGGGCAGGAGGAGCTCTTGGTAAAGGGTGGCTACAACGTCGCCTTGGAAAACTTAAGACACCTCTTGGCCGCAGCCAGAAATTGGAGTACAACTGAAGCACATGATAGACTCGCATTTGCCACTCTCCCTCTCACATGTCAGTGTTCTTTCCCTTCTGTATATCTGCTGCCACCATCGCATATCGCATATCGCATATCGAATGGGTTCCCAGACAATGGGCACCACACATCCTCCCCGTATCCCTACCTCCCCGGCATACACACATTCCCTTTTTTCGAGGCACTCAACATTCCACGCAACGCACACACAAAAATAGATCACTGCCATTTCGTGTCAGCGGAGTGAGCGGAGCGGAGCGCCTTTCCTTTGTTGTTTCGCTCCTGCCTAGCAGCCATCGAAACACCCGAAACACTTTGTTGAAAAAGCAAAAAAAAACGCAAATGATTAAAACTGAACAGAGAGAGAGAGAGAGAGAGCCAAATGCATTCCTCGAATAACTTGAATATTTTTCAAAACTCAACAAAAGCACGAGGCCCAGTTGAAGTTGAAACAGGAGAAAGGAGACAGGGGACAGGAGGAGGCAACCCTTCGAGCGAGGCCTAGCAACCCTGCGCTGCCTGCTGCCTGCTCCCTGATCCCTGGATGCACAGAGAACTGAGCATTTGGCACACTATTATTATCATAATGCTCACTCTTACCCACTCTCATTATGTTGATTACGCTGGCCTTGTTCAGCGTGTGTTTGTGTGGCACGCGTGGCAACGTGGCAACACACACGACCATGGCACAAAGGATGGCAAGGGGAAAAGGAAGCTCGCTGGAAGTCAGATATTGAACCCGAAACAAATCCAATTTTTGCATGCCTGAAACGTGAATCCAATTCAAGGATCGGGATCAAGAGAAGCAGCAAAAAGCCAGAGGAGTGGGAAAACGGAAGATGGAAGACCACTCTTACAGGTCTATTGGAAAGATATTCCATTTCATAGTCTCTGAATAAAAGTTACATTCCACCTTCAGTTACCTTTTAGACCGATCATTGGGCCCTCTTTCTTTACCCAAATATCCATTGAGTTTGCTTCGGTTAGGGCCTTAAGGTTCTGTACTCCGTTTATGTGGACAACAGTCAATAAATAGCTCCAGTTTGGAACCTTTTGCCACATAGATCTGCCATGTCGTTGCTTTGATTTCTTTTTATTTTCTAAGGTGATAAAGATGAAGCAATGAAGTTGCCTCGAACCTCAGCCCATGTTGAACTTGAACCTCGGTGATGTCTGAAATGTGGCAACAGTGCAACAACAACATCTATTCGGTTGCACGGAGAGGATTGGTGTGTGTGTGGGGGGGAACTGCATGAGAAATGTACACGAAATGGAACGCCAGGCAGTAAATTAAGTGCCCGCTGGGAATTTTCTTTATCGAATTGTACGCCTGTGTGCGTGCGTGCTCCCTCCCTTTCCCACCGGTCTGTCTGCCTGCGTGTCTCACTCTCTGCCTCTCTGCTATCGGTCCATCTGTCTGTCTGGCTGTCTTTCGCTTTCGCTCTCTCTCTCTCTCTCTTTCCCACTTCTCCGCTGTGCGTAGAGATGAAGCAAAAACCGCTTTCGCTCCTGCTCCTTGCTATTTGGCATCGCCCTCCCGCTCTCTCGCGTAACCGCTGACTGTTGCTCTCACTCTCTCTCTCTCTCTCTTTAATGGGCTTTGGGTGCTTCACCTTCTCTCCCTGTGGGAAGCCTGATCGAAGCCCTGCCCTTGCTTACCCTTTCATTATGGTATCGCTCAGGGTCTTGTCCGTGGCAACTTTAAGTTCTTGCCACACAAATTCATTTCGGTGCGGCTTATGCTCGCACTCGTACATATACATATACATATGTACGTACATACATTTGTACATACTTGTGTGTATTTTTTTGTGTCTGCCTCAGAAAACACTTTGCCGCTGTCGCAGTTGTTGTTGTTGCTGATTCACTGGTTGCGACACGGGCGGTGGGACTGCCTGTGTATTGTTATGTTAATTTTTGATTATACGCAATCCCATTGTTGTTGCTGTAGCCAGAGTTGCAAGAGCGGAGTGGCACGAGCTCTGCTTTTCATATAAATATCTCCCTGTGCTGCTGCCCCCCCTGCCGCCCTGTATTCGCTGCTCAATCACTAATTTGAGCGCGTGCCGACGTCTGCCGCACAGCATCGGGCGAGCCTGGCCTCTGGCTCTGGCTCTGGTGGTAGGGCTCTGGCCTGGGTGCTGAGGGTGCGTGGAAATCACATTTAAATAGTTTTGCGACAAGCTACACTGCAATGTGAGGTGTGGCGCAGTGAGAGAGCTAACGAAAAACACACAGGAAAAGTGCGGCAGTGCCTTACCTACCGACTGATAGACCTTCCAGTCGAATATGTTTTGTCCAAGACGAGTCACACAACCCCTTTGGGCTGCCCCTTTGCGTCTGTCTTTGGCTTTATACCTCCCCCTCCCCAGGAGCAGGAGAGTGGCAGGGGGGCATCATGTGCTCATCATGTCCACGTGCCGAGCATCAGTTTCAAGTTCAGCCACAGTCCAGCTCATCCCACACCCAGCCAAAAAACGAACCCAGAGCAAGGGATGGGGAAAAGCAGTGGCGTGGGCTGTGTCTGGGGGGGGGGGGAGAGTTACTGGAAAATTAAAAGTGTTGCGCTTAAGTGTTTTGCCGTGTTTCAAGTTGTTTTATTGTTGAAGTTGTCCCCCTCCCAGTGTGGCCGCAAAACCTTAACTAATTCGAAAGACAAAAAGGAGCACACGTCCAGCGGAAGATGCCAGGTCCCAGCTCCCAGCTCCCAGCTCCCAGGTGGGTGGATGGTATCCCTGGAGTGGGCCATGGCCTGTGGGTGGATGAGCAATTACAATAGTCAATCGAGATGCTGTGCCCTTGTTGGGTGGGGAATGGGTTCGGTTACGC